CCCCCCCCCAAAAGGTGCCTGTTAATATCCGAGTGACAGCCCAGCTAAGAGGAAGATGTGTGAGTAAGAACCAAGAGGAATGACCCTGCCAATTCTGTCCTACCGGTAGGTTCCAGAGTGGAGGTTTGTGCTTACTCTAAGGGAAATCAATGTTAGAGCTTCAGGTCTTGTCTCCTTGAACGAGATCTTTTCTTGACTGAGTGATAGTATAGAAAAGGAGGGACTTCAAGCTCATTCGTGTGTTTGGCCATAGCAGAAGTGCAGGTCATTTTTCCTTTAGTTCGAACAGAAGATATGGTTCCCATTACAGATTTAGCTGAAAAATTTCTGGCCAAGGGAGAAATCCTCAGGGAAGGATTTCAATCATGAACAGAGGCTGAAACAATGTGAAGTGGGCAATGGCTGTGGAACAGATCAGGGCACCAAACAATGGTGAAATAAGACAAATGAACCTTCCTCTTTCCAAACCTGAAATCTTTCCCCGAGGTCTGTACCTTCTCAGCTGGCCCATCTACAGGTACAGCTCGCCGGGGTGCAGATCCTGGCTGAAGCGGAGTCAGCAACACGAAGACAAAACAAGCTCCTCATCAGCACATAGCTCAGGGTCAAAATGAATAAATCCTTGATTGGATTGAGATGGCTTACACAAGCTCCCAGGGGCTTTTCTGACAGGCTAGAGCACAGAAGAGGCAAGTTCACATCCAGACAAAAGGGATATTTCAGCAGGTGGCCTGCAGCATACGGCTGTCGCTGCCAGCTGTCGGACCTGCTCGGGCAGCCTGCCGTCGCGGTAGGAGTGAAGTATCCGCAGAAGGACAAATAAAGGAAGAAGTGGGTGGCATCAATTCCCCCACTTTCCCATCCCAAACTTGTTCTCTCTCCTGAGCTGGTCACCCACACCTTCATGGCTGTAAGGTACTGCTAGCTTTGGTGAGACCAGGTGCAAAGAGAAGTTCTCCATCTAAGCACGCTATCAAGATAACACCTTGAACACTTGCTGCTGCTGACAGTTCCTTTAATACTGCTCTATTTCTAGATATCTTTCTTCAGAAGGTGATTCAGCTTTTCCTTTCTTGGGCATTCTTATCATGTTGTGTGCCTGCTGGGCTGTTTTCAGCTCTCGTGAACACAACAAGGCGCTTTTTTTTTTCCTGACAGCATCAAGGGGGCTGCTGAATGCAAAACAGTCTCCTCTGAGAATTCCCTCGCTAGGGCCTTCTGATGATGGGCCAGAGATGTGTTACTTGTATGACTTTATTAACTTGTTACCCGAGATGTCGTCTTAAGCAAAACCTCGTAGAAGCAGTATGCACTCAGAATAACATAAGCCAGAAACAGAATCATGAATCCAAGAGCTGCATCCAAGGACTAATTTCAAGGGTGTCCTTCATTAAGGAAGACCCCTAGAAAATGCAGCTACTTCTGAAATACAACATGTGACAAAGAGGCCGTAGAAAAGGTAACTCAACCAGCACCAGCAGTGTCAGAGCCCCTCTGCCAGACACATCTTTTCTCTTATATTGGATGGACATTTCCTGAAATGTCCACATAATTTTTCCCTGTACATTCGCTCCAAAGTTCAGTCCTTTCAACTACACTCTGGAAGGAAAGACAGAGGAACAGCTTGTTCCCTTGATCTCGTCTTGGTTCTGCCCAGCTGAATGTTATTGCTCCTTCAACTTTGCCTCACGAGTTTTGCCAAAAGCACTGCCTCCTGACGTAAAGTGCTATTAGACATCTTACTTTTCTGGAAGCCAGCATGAAGTCATCCAAGCAATGGTTCTGTGGTTTGCAAAGTAGCCTAAATCATCTCTTCTTCCCAAACGGTGTATCTTACCAGCCATCCAACCCCCTTTTCTTTTAATGGGGTTTCTGCAGTATTCAGACCTGGCCACACCAAGACCGACAGTTAGGAAGGTGGCAGTGTTTTGGTTGCTCCACTGAGAGTGTCAGTAATTCAAATTAAATTAGACTTTGGTTAGGTGGGTAATTCATCATTTGCAGTGTGACAACAATACCTGTAATTACTGCTCTTATTGTTGCGGCTGAAATTCATGTGCAATAAAGGGATCCTAATATCATGCCAAACCTCACAGTTAATTTAGGTTCCATCTCCTTTCATTTATTCTGTAATAAGCTAATTAGTTCACATAATTTGCCATTGAACCTGCCTTTGTAACAAATATATACATGAATTAGCCTATTACACAACAAATGAGGGGAATCAAAACATGAATCATTTGCAGGATTACATAAGGAATTATTATCCTTTCAAACACCCATGGATGCAGCCATCATCTTCATTGCATTAAGATTTTATTATTTGCACTAGGGTGGTTCTCATGTCTGATGCCTCTGACTTATTCTTATTCTTGGAAGGTCAACAACGCATTTCACTGTTTGGTACGCCCCGCTGCCACGTGCCAGGTTACTTACAAGTTCAGGATCATGAAGTTAAATGTCTTTCAGCTTGGCTTCTTAAATCCAAATTCTGGCAGCTGAAAGAGCTTGGCCATACTGCTAGCCTCCTGCCTTGGCACACCATTTGCAAGGACATTTTGGAGTACAGATCTTCAGATTTCCCTGTGAAAGTCTGCTTTTGTTCGTTCTCAGCCTGCACAGTATCAAGCTGCCCTTGGAAACTCTTGGGCATGACTTGCAGTCACTGCACTTGGAAGATTCCTTCTGAATCTCACCTGTGGGGCTCATTTCACCAACCTCCCTTCTGACAGCTCTTAAACCATGCTAGATTTCCAACTCATTTGGGATAAATCATTAGGGATGCTCTATCCAGCTGAGTCCTAAGATTGCCATTATGCAAACTGGAGGCTTGCCAGACCTTGAGGTTCAGTCCACCATTATAACTCTTCCAAAATACCATGTATTTATTTTCCCCAGGAGGGATCAGGACAATTGGGCCAGTCTCATCCAGAACACAGCAGAGTGCTTTCTGCCCAGTAATTCAATACCAATTCACAGGAAAGCTCCTGAGCTACTAAACCCATCAGTTCTACTTTCTGCACTACTTACTTTGAGGCCTCATCTAACTGCTGACCTGGTGCTACCCAGCTTCAACTACTAAATGTAATAAGCACAACTCAATAGCTTTATTTGTTAAATGTTCTCTGCTTACAGCAATTGTTTTGATTTAGCATCCAAGCTCTTGCAGTAATGATTTACTCTTCCCATAGCAAAGTTAAGCAAGCACCTTACTCCCAACAGCTGCTTTTTTACCTGGAGTTATATCGTTTTCACCTTCTAAAGGTGAATCCTTACTTCTAAAGGAATAAAGATGTAAGAAGAGTTTTTGGCCGGAAATACTCTTTAGCATTTGGATGGCCCAAGCAGCACTAAAACCAATCATAAACCTCCTGGTAGCTCCCAGAATAATCTGTGGATACAATATCCAACTTTGCCAGACACTCTGCCCAGAGGAATCAGTTGAAACCTCTGCTGTGGCTTGTGTGTTCTTCCTGGCTTAACACTGTACATTTTCAGGCTGAGGAAATGAAATACCAACATGAAATAAAAGCTTGCAGCCTGCAAAAAGGCTCACGAAGTAAAAAGGAGGCAGGATCCCTCGAGAAGCACCTGCTCATTTTCAGTGCACTAGCACAGGCACTCTGCAACACATTGCCCTCTGCCCCTTCTCTGGCGAGAAGCTGCTGCCGCATGGTGGGAGCCAGACGGGACCTCCTGGGCACATCCGTCAAGCTCTGTCAAAGAGCTATGCAAGAGCAGAAAAAGGAGAATGCAAGTGCAGCCAGAGACCCACCTACTCTTCTCCCTTTGATTTCCCTCCTTCCTTTATCCAACATGCACTACCAGTCAGGAATATTCAAAATTACTATGGCAGCTCCTCCCGACATACTAATTCCAAGAGAGAACCAAAGCATTTTTAAAAACATAGCCTAGTAGACTTGGGATCTGTCTGAACCTTCCTGGATTTGGTTTTGAGCCTCTGACACCAGCAGCAGCGTGATTCAAGGTGTGCTACTGCGACAGCATGAGAGCAAACAAGATGCTCAGAGCAAGCAATCACCCCTTCACAACTTCCAGATGAAAACTGGAAATCATTAAGTTCATATTATAATATGAAACTAGAAGGAAATTCATAAACGAAATTTAGAGCTCTGAATGAGTAATTATTCATCATTAACAGAACTGAAAGGAAAACTTTTTCTCTTTTAGGAATAGATGTCACCTACACTTCAGGAGGACTAGAAAGTGCAAATTAAAAATGGAGAACAGGACACAGATCATTTAAAATAGGCTAGCCCTAAGAGACCACAGTCTCTGGACTGTGTATATGAGTTATCCAATGTTCCAGAGCTACAAATGCTTTGAAAATGCTTCAGTTGCCGGAGTGTTTTTGTGACCTGTAAAGGCTCACCCAGTCTGAGCCAGAAGCACTTTGGTCTCCAGGGAAGAGCTGTATAGGAGTGGATCACGACAGACTCAAATTCCATGAGTAGTATCTCTTCACAGGTACTCCAGCCAGAATGGACGATTGGGATTATTTCTTCCTCCCTCCAGCATACCATGATAACCAGATAACCCTGCAATTCTAGAAACAAGCCCAAGCCATGCCATCAAGCTAATTCCTACATTTTAGAATAATATTAAGTCTTGCTTAAGGACTTGGACAACATTCTCCATTTCCTGATATTACAGCAATAAATAAAGACCTTAACTCTCAAAAATCCTTGAGATTCATCCAGGTCTGATTTGCAGTGCTAGAGCTTGCCACACTTTTGTCTGTCTCACGAAGTATTTTCCCCCTCTTCTAAAATGCACCGAAGAAAAGGCTGTTCTCTCCAAATGCTCTCTTGCAACATTTGTGCAGATTATTGTCGGATTCACTTACTCGATATGTCTTTATTTGCAGTTTCATGCAGGTGAAAGCAAATTCCTTTCTCCTCTGATGCATCTATCAAAATCTTTCCAAGCAAAAGGTGACAAAACAAAAAGAAACAGAAAAATCTTTAGGAGAATCCTACCTGAAAAATAGCTATCCAGGCATATCCAATATTATCAAAATTGATAGCTCCATTGTGTGGGTTTACGTCCCCTGCCATGCATACGTTGTAATACTGGTTCCAGTTTATGTTTGCTGAAGTCAGGGTTGTATAAACTTGGGGTGTAGGAGTCCATGCTCAAGGTGCACTCCACCTTGTACTCCTTCCTGTTTGGGATGTTGGAGCATTTCTGCATGCCGTTTTCACGATGCGATGAGCAGATGAATGGATTCTCCTCTGCTTCGTCTGTCCGGTAGTACGGATGCAGGAAGGTAAGGTTGTATGTCCTGGAGGGGGAAGAAAGAGAGGGATGAGAACAAACAATGCAGCCAGTTTTTTGTTTCAGCAGCAGTAAAAGGCGCTGGTTCCTGCCCCTGGTTTGGGTGGGTTATTTCTCCTTTGCCCCTCAGCCCCATCAGACTGGAGAAAGCAAGCCACAGCTCAGATATCAGACCCCACCTTTGCCTACAAACTTTTTGCTTACAGCATCCTGTAAAGCACCAGTGACCTTTCAGTTAAGGATCAGGGCTTTCCCAAGCAAACAGGGCAGTTGAAATGAGTGGGTATAGAGAAAGAAATCCCAGCAGGCCAGGTGCTTCCCAAAAATCTATGGAACTTTTTGTTTCCATCTAAGGATTTTAAGATAGCTCTTCTGATGCTTGCAACATGCCTCAGAAAAGCTGATGGCAAAGCAGCTTTCCAATAAATTTGCCCCTCAGCACCTCTCCAGGACGAGTGAGCTGAAGTTTAAAGAGGAGACACACAGCAACAGGCCATGTCAAATTCCTTCTGCACTTGCATAAGAAAAGGAAGAGCCCACATTAACAGGACCGTGTGCTTCCTGCATATCTGATTTAATTGGCCTGGATAAAGTTTATGGCTCCGTTACATCTACAATAAGCAAGTGCTGTAATTGCAGCATGGTAGGGATGTGCCTTTTCCCAAGCTGTGCTCTGGAGCAGATCAGCAAACAAGCAGAGCCCAGGACTTCTCATGCTGTTTGATTAGCATTTGCGAGACCCACTGGCACTCACATTGCTGAAGCACTGCTTAAAACGAGAGGTGCAAAGTCCTAGAGCCGACTTTATCTGCTGTGTTCAGAGCTGCAGGGTTCTAAGAAGCTATATAATCAGTCAGGAGATAAGGGCAAAGGCAACACACAAATCATACAACCGAGTGAGATGTGGGTAGAAGATAAGCAGGCAATTCTTCAAGACAGGACAGCTGTATTTTTATCTGTTTCTGAATGGACCTATTGAATAAATTTGGCTACGAGTGCCAAACTAGTATTACTCCACACAATTGCTTGAAATTGCTCCCCAAAACCCTTGAGTCAAAGAGTCACTCAGCAACTGCACTTTAGGGAAGTAGCAATAGCTGCAGGGCAGAGCTGAGGGGAAATTAATCCCGAACAATTCTCCTGCAGAATTTGGTTGTCCTCTGTCAATGAATTACTTGAGATGGGTGTTGAGGGTTCATCCAGGTTCAGGGATAGGCAAAAGCAGCAATGCCAGAGGAACTGGGCATTCTTCGCTCATGATTAAGCATATTCACCAATTACTCCTCTCCCATTGCACGGTGTTCCCACACCTCTAGACAAAATGAGCATCTTCCTCCTGGTTTCTATGCCTTAGATTCAAGACAAGGAGGAAATCTGAAAAATGTTTTTCCTCCAGGACTGCCTCAAAGCCTTCTCCTTCCCCTCCCACGAATTGGTTTCACTCAAAGGAAATTTCCATATAAAACAAGCTGAAGAAAAGGCTGAGTGCTACACTAGCACGGTGTTTGCTAGAACATCAGATACTACAACCAGCAGAGTTTGTCACACAGAGGGGGGTATTGCTGAGGCTTGTGAAGGATTAAAACTCACTGAGGCGCAGGGATGTGTCTGGGAGTGATACAGACTGTGGGTTGGAGACAGCTGGGAAACTTGAGAGGGGAAGAGACACCTGAGAAGTGACTTTAACTCACAGAAGTGGCAGGCAGAGCCCCAGCAGGTCTGTTTCAGCCTTAGTGGGTACACTGAGAGGGGTTCAGATGCAAAGGGCTCCTGCACCATCAAAAAAAAATGTGGTGGGGACCCCACACGCCTGGGACATCTCTGCTTACAGCCACAGTGCCTGGCTGAGCCTGCTCACCCAGGGAGGTGCAGGGAGGGCTCTGCACCTCCATGAGACATGACGCAGCCCAGGACAGAGCCATCCCAGACCCACCAGCCTCTGGAAGGACGTTTTCTTCCAAAACTTCCAGGTTTGAGAGGCCATGGGTGCATGTCTCATTCGGCTCCTCCCAAGGAACTCAAGGTGCTCAGTAGTTCTGAAATCTTTCAAATGGGACAGTGGGATCAGGGCTTTCCTCTCCCTGTGGTGGTGACAGGGGTCTAACACCCCAGAGCTCAGACCAAGGCTGGGCTGCGCTGTGCACTGCCCGACACAACAAAGCTGCACGGCCACAGGACTCTGGGGTATGACCTGCCTCCCTGGGGCTGATTTCACCACTCTTGAAACCAGGGCTCTGTGGGTTACAGGCGAAGAGCTATTCTTCAGGCCTTAAAATGATGGCAGGAGAGGTCTCATTTGGTACTTTCTCATCAAAACACCCAGACCTCCAGCTCAGGCTCAACAGATCTCTGCAGTTCTCAAATCCCTGATGTGAGAAGTCATGCAAACTCAAAACTTTGTCTCTCTGGGCAGCTCAAAGCCCAAGCCTGGTGCTCGCAGACAGCCGCAGAGGTGAGTCTCAGACAGTAACCTGCAACCCTAAAACTACAAACTGAACTCCCAGCCCTGCAACAACCCTCTGTGATTTTGGGAACATCCCTTGCTCTCATTTCCCTTCAAAAAATGCTGGTTTGATCTGGATGTGCCACTCCAGTGACATACTCTTCCAAACTACAACTGATTATCCAGGAAAACTTGCTCCAGAGCCAGGTGGAGCTGTTAAATTCAGCAAAAACTTATTTCCTTCACCACCCGGAAAGCAACACCCCATCTGACCACCAGCAGCAGGAGTTTCCTGATCATAAACACCTTTTGGCAGTGGGCAGGGTGGGAAGGCTCAGCACACTGCAGCTTGTGGGCCAGTGTAATTAGGATTCCACCCAGAACAAAGCTGGACTTGCAGAGGGAGATGGACCATCTGGAGGGATGATTGTGTAATTAGCAGCTATGGCTGCACAAGCTCCTTTCCTGGGAGCAGTTTTGTGTTTAGATGCAGACACACACATGCCTGTGCCAAGAACACTGACCATGGAAGAAGTGCTCAGACAGAAGGGATGATGCATCAGCACGATGCTTCGCTCCGATCTCACACCCAAGCTCCCCTGCAAGCTGCCTCTCCCACCACAGCACAACACAAACATTCGATACCACATGCGACTATAGCTGTCTGCCCTCCCAGCTGCAGGACTGACACACATTTATTCTCCTGGTTTAATCATTTATTTCACTCCCCAGAGCTGATCTCTGATCTCCTGATGTGCCCACCCCAGCTGGGCAGGGACACAGCTAGCCAGAGAGCAGTGTGCCAGTCAATTCTGCTGGAGCCCATGTACCCTGTTCTGTTGGAAGGAGGAGATGCAGCCAGACTGGGGACCTACAGGACCAATATCCTTCCCACATAATGCTGCTCTATTTGCTACACATTGCAACTGGAAAGGCCCTTGATGAAGCCACATGCACAGATTTCAGAGGCTGCACGTTCCTCATGAGTCACTGTTTAGGAAGCCTTGGGCTGTAGGAGGAATACAGCACCCTGGGCTGTGATCTAACAAGCTGAGTAGAAAAGATCTGGGCACAAGCCCTCTGGAGAACCAAAAGAACAACACACTTCGGTGCCTGTGGGAGGAAAATAAAACCAGGAGAACAAAGCACAGCTTGTCTGCAAAGGGTGGATGAAGCTTGATTTGGTTCTGCTACTGCCTAACTGATTTTATCCTCCCTTTTTCCCTGTCTTGCTCATTTTTGCAATTGTCCCCCAGAATAATTTACAATCTAGAAGAAAATCCTCCCTATGACAGGCTGAAATCAGTCATGTGGGGGCCAGTTTCCACCCAGCCCTTCACAAGCCCTTCCTTCTTCCCTGTTTGCCCTGGGCATAGGGACACCATGAGCATCCATCCGGCTGGGAGGGACCTGCACCTGCATGATGCTCTGCCATCACCAAGTACAGCAGGGAAGGGACACACCAACTGACAGCAAGCACTGAAAATTTAAGAACTTTTTCTAGTTCCTTTGTTGGCAAAACCAAAAAAGGGAAAGGAGGAGAGCAAGAATGAGAAACAATGGTGTTGAAGAATGAGGGAATCCCCAATATCCATAAAATAAATGAATTAGCTCTGCCAAGACCATCTACCTCCCTGTGCAGGAAAGGTCAATCTGACTTCCTTGCTACTTGCCAACAGGCATAGTCCAAATAACTTATTAATGGTAATGAATCCGCTAATCACAAGACCCTTGTGCTCTGGGGAAAAGACATGAGAAACTAAGCCCCAGAATGGATCTTGTTATCACATTAGGAAGGATTAACACCCCCTTCTCGGCCAGCTGCCCAGTGCACATCTTTCTCTGGGCTTGCAGCAGCTTTGCAATGTATTTTCCTTTCCCTGTCCCTGGGCACATTCATGTGCAGGAAGGACAACAGTGGGACAGGAAAGTCCATTCTTTCTCATGTCAAACGAGGCTAAACAATTATTCTCTGCTCCATTGTCCCCAGGCTCAGTCCTCCCAGCCCAACCATCTCATGCAGGACACCATCCACAACTGCTGGAGCACGGCATGTGCATGCTGAGCACAATCCCGCTACAACTTTCTGAGGAGCACAGGAGGAAAGGAAAAAGGTGGAGGAAACTCAGCACCAAGCAAGATCTGTTCCCTCCACAAGGAGGCTGCTCTCTGGAGGAAATCCTGCTGACAACCCAACGTTGCAGCACAGAGTGATGCCAGGAGGAGCAATTAAGCAGAACTCAGAAGGACCTTTCAGACAAACTCAGAGCTGTCTGTGCCTTCTTGCAGCTCTACAAAAGCCACGGAGCCTAACGCGGTACAATGCCAAGCAGGTACGGAGTTAATTAAGACTGAAGCGCTCACATTATAACTGTCCTGCAGCACTGGATAAGGATAAAGCACTTCACAGCTCTCCCCCCTCTCCTGCTTCTAACCCACTAAGCTCCTTGAAAGGCTCCACGAGGGGAAAACGCTCCCCTGCATAACACAACACAAGCAAGGAGCAGCCCCAGCAGTAACAACCCAGATGAGCTGGGGGTGACCCAATTCCTTTATTTACAGGGATAGCAGCTCATGATGGAAGGAGGGAGCCAGAGGGGCTTCACTGGGGGCAGACACATCCTGGAGATCTTACAGATAAACTGCTGGCTTCGCTTGCTCTTCCCATGCATACCAAGCCTTCCTCTCTCAGACCAGACCAACCAAAAAGCAAAATTCCCCCCTCCAGCTCCCACTGTCAGGAATCTCCTGCACTCGCTCACACAGCAGTGGAGACGATCCTGGCACTGCCATTCCCCACGGCTGTGCGATGCCAGGGGAAGGGCAGTCCAGCCAGCGAGCTCCCCGGGGGGGTGAGGAGGTGTCTGAGCCACCAGAGACCTCTGAAGCACCACTCTGCTCTCCAGGGCTGGCCGGGGAGTGACAGCTTCTCACATGCCCTGAACAGCGGTGACCCACTCCAGTTTATCGCTTGCCAGCTCACTACTGCAACAGCCCAGTAACTGCCTCTAATTCCTTCGAAGTCACTACTAAAAGAGTGTCCTGAATAAAATCTCCTTCCAGCATGATTATACATTGCAACAGCGCAATTTTCAAAGAGAGAGAAAGCAGGTATTTCCAGTGCACCTCAAAGAAGTCCCCAAATCTTTTGTCAGGATGTACTATATTTTAAAATAGTTTCTTTACTTGAAGCAGCCTACTTTCAAGGGGGATTTAAAAGAAAAGGTTTCCACAGGAAGAAGAATGATGGCAAAATCAAAGTCACTTCTTCCAACTGATGCCTGCTGTAAAGTTGAATGGCCCAGAAAGCTGCTGGCAGCAAGTGTGCTAAGAAGCATGTAGCAGATAAGAAACTATATTTGAAGCACCAGTCTCTAAGCTTGCTTACACTTACACTCTAGAAAACTTTTGGGGCTATGACCCTTCCTTGCCTGGCACCCTGGATTGCGTTCAGATGCTCACCCTCACTTTAAAGCGGTTCTGTTTTCACCTGGGAGGGTTTAACACCACCACCAAGGTGAGTCCTGCCAATAACTCAGGTCTTCCTTTTCATGGGGCTGTAAGGAAAATCTGAACCAGGACCATCATCTGCTCAGCCCCAACCCAGGTGCACAGCACCTCCAGCCCCTCGCAACCTGCTGAAGGGCTGGTAAACATTATTTTAGGCTGAGGACAACATTGGGATTTAGTGGGACTTGGCAGACAAAACCAAATGACCAGAATCTCATTCCCTCTTTCCTGCAGAGCTCTATTCTTTTTACTTCTACTTGATCTAGCGGAAGGCACACCTGCCCATGGCAGGGGGGATGGAGCTAGATGATCTTTAAGGTCCCTTCCAACTCAAACCATTTCATCATTCCATTATTCTACTTCTAACCAAAACCAGAGCTTAACTTTAATCCTGCATCCCCTGTGTGAAGGTTTTATTGGTGTTACTGTTCTCTCTGGCAGCTCTCTCTGGAAGGGGAAGGATGGTCAGGGCTCTCCAGCACTGATGCCAAGCACGACAGCTTGGCACAGGGATGGAGCATGCACACGGAGTGATGAACCCTCTCCACTCCAACCCAGGGCTTGACTTCGCCTGTATCTCCACACTGTCTTGCAGGCAGATGGCATCTTCCTGCTGGTCAGCAGGACCTATTGGTTTTTTAGCCCAGTGCTGTATATTTTAGCCCTTCTTTACAATAGCAGAATGATGTAACCCCAAAGTGCTTTCCCTGTTACTGCCACACCAAAGTTACTCCATGCCTTTTCCCCCTGTAGAACTTGCTGTTGGGATGTTAAAGACCACTGCAGCGGTGAACCATATCCCGATGACTAGAACTATGGATTCAGGAGAATGAATCGGGAAAAACCAAAAAGATGGGAAGAGTTTCACCTGGATTCCCCAAAACTTTCACACCAAGCTCCAATCAACCTGGGATATACAGGGACTGGTTCATTGCAGCCAGGTTTCTCAGGTCTGAAGCTAACCCAGCAAAACAGAGACCAAACCAGTAGCTTCAGTCTGGGTGCTGGTACCAGAGCAACCCACATTTGTTACACTGACACCAGCAGAGCTGCCCCATGGGCATGCCAGAAGCCTCATTTCTCCAAATTTCTCTGGAACACTATAACTTTGTTCACAGTATCCCTGAGCACAGGGCATCATGCAACAGGACTTGGGCATACGATAGCCCACAGCCACCCAAATTCACTGCTACCTGCTGCTGGGGGGGCACCAGGAACCAGTGCAGAGCTGTGGTGAAGTGGGAAGGAGAAGATCTCTCACAAACCTCCTGCCTCTTCAAGCACAGGTCCCGAGGCTTAGCACAGGGAGCCTGATTTTGCCTTCAGTGACCAGGACCAAGACCCTGATCAGAAAATCCTGTGACACCTTTGATGCTGCTAATGGCCATTACATAACAGCCTGCTTTCCTTGGGACTGCTTAATATCTCTACTTAGCAAACGTTTCCCTTGTGGTTAATTTTAAAAGCTTCGCTTTGCAGGAAATCACGCAGGATTTTAGAAACCTGTCCAAAGAGATGAGAGGGACTCGCGAAGCTAATTACAGCTCCGTGCTCCTTGTGCTCAAAGCACTGCCTGCGCACGGCGCCTGCCCCGTGCAATGGGGCCACGCGAGCACAACTTTTAACACAGCCTTGGGCTTTGAAATGACAGCTCAGGGATCGCTCTGAGTGACGGAGGGTCTTGACGACCATCAAATACCTGCCGTGGGTGCAGGAGAGCAATGAGGTTGGAGCATCAAGATGCAGGAGCAGACACATACACACATGGCAGACTCATTGATTTTCTGCCTTTCAGCGTCTCTGACGGGATTAGTAAGCGCCGCCAGAGATGGTCTGCGGCACAGAGGAAGGATCAGAGAGCTGAAAGCCACAGGACTAACCAGTGAGAGGCAGGAACAGGACCTGGGGTAGAGTTAAGGGATAATCTCCGCTTGTCTTCCAGACACAATACGAGTTACAGACAGCAGATGATTACAAACAGATAAAATTACAGGTGCTATCTTGTCTTACAGAGCTAGAGTTGCCCTGATTAGCTGGCCTCAGGCATTTCCTCACCTCTGAGCCACTGACATCTCCTGCAGGCTCTGACAGGAGCCCTTCAGAAGGATTTTCCCAGGCAGACCTCCATTTTCCACAGAAGCTTGCAGGCTGCACTTCATTTTGATATGCTGGCGGGTTTTAAGGTGTATCCTTACATTGCACCTCTGAACAGGCAAGTGTAGAACAGCCCAAACGCAGTGTCATGCTGGGGAGCAGCAAGAGCAGGACTGTCCCATGCCAGAGGATAAGCCAACAGCCAAGGGTCATCCCAGTGCCAGCAGCACCTGCAGAGTCTGAACACAGCAGGCAGAGCCCAGGGCTGGCAGCAGAGTCCCTTCAAAGCCCCAGACATGGCAAGTGATGAACCAGATCCAGGACCCAGCCAGGGAACTCAGGAGCCAAAGAAACCAGCAACAAAGAGCTGGAGACAGGCACACCAACAGCACAGCTCAAACCAGGATTGAGAGAGCACAGGCTGAGCTTAAATAGAGCTCCTGGGCCATGGGCAGGGTGTGGGTGTGGGTCCTAGGTGAGGCTCATCAGGGGAATTAAGGCCTATTAGCACCCTCCGCACCTGGCAGGGATGCTGGTCCATGCAAGTGCCTAGCTTGGAAGGACCAAAACTAAAGTTTGCATCCAAAAGAGCTGATGATCAAATGTCCTGCCCATCCCTGATGCCTGTGACAGGATGAGAGTCACGTACAAATGTCTTTAATGCCTTTCACATCAAGCTTCTTATCTTAATACCCCTACAAAGAGTTATTTGTGTGTTTCAGCAGCATCTCCATGGTGCTGTCTGTACCAGCATGCAGATCGTCTCATCAACCCACTGCCAGGTGGTGTGGTGTGCTAGGTGACCTCCCAGACATGGATAGTTTTTGGGAACTGGCAATTTTAGGAGAGGTCTAATGCTTTTCCTTGTTCTAAATTTTCCAATTCCCAGAGTCAGGGATCTCAGCTTCCTTGGTCAGAGATAATCCAAACCACTAACATCCTTGTCTTTCGGGTGCAGAGTGAAAACATGAGGGAGCCACTCCAAACCCTCAGTAGCTTGCTGACAAGTGGGGGTTTTTCGTAAAAAAAGTACCTAGCCAGACTCGGAGTCCTGAAGCCAACAACCTTGCGAGTCAAGACGACAGCCCTGTTAAGAGCTGCCATTGCAGCTGGGCGGCACGGTCATGTCACGCTCTCACCCCCGTGCTGCCGGATCCGGCCCTGGCTGCATCCCGGCTGGACGCTAACCCTGCTGACCGCCGGGGATTCCTTCTCCGGTAAGGGAGAGGGAGAAAGGAAGAAAAGATTGAGATTTTTTTTGCTGTACTTACATTGCAAAATTCCTGTCTAGGAAACACCTGTTTCTCAGCAGCCCTGCCCAGAGCTGCACACCGACAATCCCAAAGATGAAGAAGACAAAGAAGCACAAGAGGAGGACGTTGCCTAACATAGGCAGAGTATCTAACAGCAGGGTGACGAGTATTCGCATACCTGTGGGGAGAAGGAGAAAACAGGTTAGAGGAGCCCTTTGACAGGGAGAGCACAAATGCCACACCGATCCCAGCTGCTCTCGGCTTGGTCATGCAGCCAGCGCATCCTGGGCGAAGAACTGGGATGCTGATGTTTTCCCCTAAACCTCAAGGCTGAAAAGGAAGGTAAAGAGTGCAAAAAGTTTAGCAGCAACATGGGAACAAACAGCGAATCTCCAAAGGGTGGACTTAAGAGTGGGATTTTCAGATGTTTTCGGTAACACAGCACTCGACACACAAACATGGGCAAAGCTGCAAGACAGTCTTTCCTGGAGAAACGCCCCCGCAAACCATCAGCCTCCAGAGAAACTGTCAAAATATATATTTATAAACATATTGAACATCTCTCATGAATCACACAAATTGTTTCCCTAAACAATACAGAGCCTTGTGTAGGATGATAGCTGTGGCTGCTCTCTGGGCCTCCTCCGTCAACAGCAACTCTTCCACGGAGGACTCCTCTTCTTGCTGGCCACTACCAGCAGCTGAGAGCCGATGACGCTCCAAAGCTTGCAGGACTGCCAAGCAGGGGAGGCAGGAGAAATTTTTACTGTTTTGAGGGGGGAAAGCAGGATGCAAATGTTTCTGCCTCTAAGCAAAGCTCTCAGCTCTGCTCCCTTCCCCTCCTCCTGCACGGGAGGCAGGGACACTAGATATTAGGAAAAATTTCTTCACCGAGAGGGTGGTCAAGCGTTGGCACAGGCTGCCCAGGGAGGCGGTGGAGTCACCAGCACTGGAAGTGTTCAAAAAACATGGCACTTTGGGACCTGGTTTAGTGGGCATGGGGGTGTTGGGTTGATGGCTGGACTTGATGGTCTTAGAGGTCTTTTCCAATCTTAGTGATTCTGTGATTCTGAGACCTTCCCGGCCAGTCCCGCACCTCTCTGCCAGGCTCCCTATGAACCTGTGTTCTGAGCAGGGGCTCTCCCCGCACCTTTGCTGCCAGGGAAATGCTGATTTCTGCACAAACTCTTCCATCCTAAATAAGATCAATGAGTCAGCCTTGCAGACCCTCAGCTAACCCTTGCATCCCCATCCAGCATGCTGCCAGTGTTGCTGCCCCTGAGAGACTGGGCAAGGAGGCAGGGACTGGGCTGGCACCTGGGGCTGCCCCATCTCACACATCAGGGCACCTTCAAACTCAAGGGTAAAACAGGAATAAAAAGGGAATAATGACTTGCAACTCAGCAGTTCAACAGAGGTTAAATGAACCTCTGAGACACTGACCAGCCATCGTTTCAACAGCTGATAATTGATGAGAGGAGAAATAATGAAAAGAGGAAGAGGCAAGGGCAAATGTTAAGTTATAGAAAAGAATAAAACCAGAAACCAAGCCTTGGGAGCCCGGCGCTCAGCACAGAGCAGGGCTCAAGTTTCTGACATGGTGGAAATCAATGCAGCTGCTGGGTAAGGCGACACTGCCGCCTTTGGAGGCCTTTTATCCCACCAAAATGCTGCTCCACAAACAGCAGCATTTTCCTGCCTGCCTCTGTGGAGCTTTTTCTCCCTCCATTTCCCCTGGCAGGATGCTGCTCTCCATTAGTCACCCCATTTGAACAGACGGCAGCATTTACGCTATCGCAGTCTCTCTTCCCCCACCAACTTCCACGCTGGCTTCTTCCCTCAGCCAGCTCCCAAGTCACGCCTGATGCCGCTCCTGCTCACTCAGTGCCGCCGCGGGCTGCAGCCTGGCACCCGCAGAGCCCAGGGATGGGTGTTGGGAGGAGCAGAGCCTCCAGGACGGCAGTGCCTGCCCGACCCGGCACCTCCCAGGCCATGGCAGGCAGTGCTCGCAGGAGCCGGAGCCCCGTCACGCCGCTGTACCCCCTCCTCGTGTCGCTCTGCCAGCGGAAACGCAGCCCGGCCAAGCATTCCCGCCGTTACCTTGTCAGCACGGCACGAGTGGATAAACCGCCCTGGCCAGGAAGTCTGCACTAATAAATAATGAGGTGTGAGTAACAACCTCTGCATCCCAGGGCAACTTTCAAGGTCTCCATGCCCAGCTGCGTCTTGGCTCCGGCGCGGCTCCCCCACTGCTGGCGCTGGCAGCGGATGCCTC